CCCCCCCCCCCTTCCCATCCTCTCAAACTAGTCGATATTGATAAAAAGTTGATGAATAAAACTAGCATCAACTTTTAGTCTTAATTTTACTCTCTAGCTCTCTGTATTTTTCCTGCTGAAAATATTACAAGAATAAAAAACAAACAAACGAGAAAAAAATGAAGCTTAATCAAGAGCTCTTGTGGTTTTTAGTTTGAAAAAGAAAAAAAATTGTTTATAGAGGGAAAACTGTGAAATAATATTTGTGCCATGCAGTTCCTTGTTTCTTTTATCTAGGTATATTGTGTTTTTATGGATTCATTTTTGTTAATGTTTTTGTATATAACTATTTTTATTTTTTAGCAGCTATAAGTACGGAAGTTGAACTCATCAATTTATTTTTTTATCCAATAGGTTTTTTTTCCTATTTTTCTCAAAAATAAAGATCCTTTTTTATGGAAATTAATAGCCTCTTTTTATTACTTCACAGACTCTGCCAAAAATGATTCTCACTCTCGAATCAACAAATATTTTTTCTGATGAAGGTATAAGGAAGGTGGAGCAGATAAACGTTAACGAAAAACAAAACAAAAAATTCCACCTTGGCCATGGCCGATTATTTTATAAAAAATTGTCAGGAAACGTGCCTACTCTTATCATATTAGGTATCTATTCATCACATTAAAACAAGAATAGGTACTACGCAGTTGACAGTTTTTATGCACATTACTGTCAACTCAAATCAGGAGCTTTTAGAAAGTTTATAGGCAAGAAGTAATTTAGGTACGTAGATCTTTGTTAAGAAAATAAAACGCGAGAGTCAATTCGGCAACTTGAAATGCAATTCCGCTATGTATTCTGGTTAAATATCCCCACTAAAATTTCAGCTATAATTTTAAAAATTATTTAATAAAACGTGAGAGCCAATTCAGCAACTTGAAATGCAATTCCGTAATTCTGGTGAAATCCTCACTAAAATTTCATCTATAATTTTAAAAATTATTTAATGCCCCAGAAACAAGGGACACAGCTTTTGAGAAATTTTGAAACACTCGGCGATTTTCGCGCCAATGGTGGTAGGCGGGCTTACATACCGCACTTCAAAAAATCCCCAACAGGTAGCAGCACGGTAATATTTTTACCATTATATTCCGAAGCTTTCAAGCATCAGTTTTTTACGCAGGCGCGCAGCGATGAGCGAATCAAATTGACGATACACGGCAGCCATCCTTTGTCAATTCTTGCCTCTTTGATGAATTTTGCCATCCTGAATTTCATGATTTTGGATAGCTACACCGCTCTTAACTTAGAGAACAAAGTTGTCGATGGTTACTGATGTTTTTGCACAAATTCTAACACTGAAGAATATCGTAGATATCGAGAAATTGCTCAGTGTTTCTAGAAGATGGCTTTATCCCCTCTCCTCAGTCTAAAAGCCCACGAAGAGGAGGAGCTTACAACTGGGAGTTCTTTAGCGCGGCGAGTGGGCTGATACGCAGATTTGATTTACGATGTAAACAAAGCCACACTTCTTTGCGGTCCTATAGAGCAACTCTTGCCTGTGACTATCTTGTCAAAATGAAACTTTTTAATACTGCTCTGTCTTTTTCATAGAATACGAATCATATTTTTTTGACGAAAAAGAAGTAGAAAATTAATGGAAGGCGACTCTGTCTCAGGTGTACTGTGCGGCTCGAAAAGCGGTGAGGTAGGTGGCGCTCTCTGTGACGAATATCAGAACTAAGCATGGGAGAGGAAAACGGACGCGCAACCGCCATCTCCTATTGGCTGATTATAAAAATCTCACATCCCTAAATGGCACTTGGGCTCAAGGTTCTACAGTATTCGGACTGGAGAGCAATTCTCAGTAGATTCCCACCTCCCTCATTTGTGCCCCCCCTGCTTGTCAAGTTTTTAACTTTAATATTGTTACTTAACGCCATATTTCATTAGTTTCGTTTTCTCATTTTCGTGCGGTGAACTTGGTTCAGTGATCGTTTTGTTTTCATCGCGGTTTTTCTTGTTACTTTTTTTTCAGTGATGTGATGATCTGCTGATCATTTCTGTGTTTTAAATGTTAGTTTCGTGTTTCCAATCGGTGTTTCGATCGGTTTTATTAACGCCAGTGGCTGGAGTGAAGGTTAAGCTGAATTTCGTTCGCGGGTGAGGCCCTTGGTTTGTGACCGAAAGAAGTCACATAAACAAAGGGTGAGCAGTGTTTTTATCAAGTTGAGGTTATAATAGCATGGACGAACAGAATCGAATGATGCATCCAGTAAGTGGTCAAGTCGGTATGATGCCCCAACCTTACATGCCTGTCCCAGATCCCAGCCATGGTAATAATCCATCTGCGGAAGAAGGAGGACGGAAACAGGACATTTCTGAAATCCTCACGCAAATCATGAACATAACGGACCAGTCCTTGGATGAAGCGCAAGCAAGGTTAGTTTATAATTCTTTGTTCCTCCTGTTAGCGCTTAGTCTTTCTTCAAACGGTTACCCTGATTTCAAATAGGGACCATGGTATTTTAATCGTCAATCCATTCTAGTTGGAAGGAATAGCGTCAGTCTTATTCTCGGGCGAAGTATGTGGGATGGAACAGCCTTTGTTTGCAAAGTTTAAAGCCTAATACTTGACATCAATTTGGTGGAAGTAAATAGTCTCTTTTATTCAGCAAGAATGATTACCTTCATCACTTACTCTCATTCTTTGGTCCATCTCCGAAGGAGCCACACACTTCCATATATTTTCGTTCACATTGCTGATAGGAAACATGTTGATGGGAAGATAATCCCTTCTTCTTATTTTGATCGTAGCGGAAACAATGGATAGGATATGCAAAGATAACTTTACCTCATCAAATCCGTAACTCGTCATGAAATTTCCCTTGAAGCGATTTTCATCTGAGCGTTGCTACTTCTAAGAATGTCCCAATAAATTCTCAGTTTATGACACATTAGCCACTTCTCCGTAACCCTTAAAATTAGAACGAACCAGCTTTATTTGCCCTGCTTATTCTCTTAAAAACCCTTCTTATTTTCCTCTACCTGAGGATACTTAGTTAAAATCTTCTGTTAAAACCAGTATTTCAAATCATAATCTGTAAAGATATTGTTGTAAAGCTCGAACACCGTGGTATTCTTAAAGCTAGGAAACTTTTGGAATCTTGAACTTTTCTGCGTAGTAGAAGCATATAGTCCTGAGTCCTTTACTTCTTAGTTTCTCCGTAAGAAAGGTTTTCTTCAAAACTGAATTCTGTTCATCTGCTAAAACATTTGTCACTCCTGTCCTCCAAGCATTCTTTATTTTAAACACAGATAAACAAACAAACATCAGATACATATTAAGTTTAGTTGGATATTGATAGTTTTTCTCCATGTCTTCTGAGTCTTTTATCGCACCTAAATATGTTCTATTTTTTTTTATCATACAACTGAGAAAAGTCAGCTTTACCCTGAGCTTAAATGCTGTAATCAAGTCATGGTATAATGGAGCTTAAAGTGTGGAAGAGAGCATGAAAGAGATTATTTTTCTCATGAATTATTATACACCTTAAAAATATTGAAGCTCTTCTCTCTTGGAGTTTTAGTTTTAAAGTTGTTTGTCCGCTCTTAACCATTATTTCCCCCAAAGTCAACTTCTACAGTATGGAAATGAAGGAACTTTTGCAACTGTACGCAGATAGTAATTACGACCATAAGGTATCCTCCTCAAATTTGTCACTAATTATTATTTAGATAGGAATGCAGAAATGTAAGTTAATTATACTGTCATGTACGCTGTTCTGAAAATTTTGTAGTGGGTACCATGAAAGATAGATATGTAGCACGAAAAATATAAAATTTGACTCTGAGATGTTATGAGAACTCTCTTTTGACACTGTGCATCTTAAAATTTTTATCTTTCTTTTAGAACAAGTTAAGCATGATGGCGAAAGTTACTTGGTTGTTTTTCATTTCTAAATTCTGCACCCTAAGGAACAAGTTATCATTCGAATTTAATTGTTCTCATAATTGCATTGCATTTTTTGCAACTACTTCTCCAAGTACCCTCTACAATTTTTCTTTTCTTATCTGATTACGCTTGAAATTCTGTCCTTTTGCTTAAAATTCCTTCATGACTACAGGTACCATTAGGTTTAGATCTGCTTATGTTTTTTTTTCTTATATTTAAAATTCTGAATGGATATAAATTGGATCATCTTGTTACTTTATAATTTTATATAAATACTTCGAAGAAAAAGCTGAACAAATAAGGGAGATAAAAATAGTAATAGGTACCTACTAATTGATAAGTACATGGTGTTTAAGACCAGGAAAAACTAGGATTCACCAGGAATGAAAAATTTCAGGGAATCTGTTTTAAAAACTGGAGATTTCTTCTTGTAGGTATCGCTTAGAAACTATTTCACAGGCATGAAACAGAATATCTTATCAAGTTTTTCATCAATACCATTATAGAGAGGTATTGTGCTCAGGATGTCCATGCTCAAAGGAGTGAGAATAGCTAGCATTTCCTCTGAACCATCATTATTTCAAGCTGTTTGTTAGTTGCTTCAATCCAAGTTCTAATATTAAATCAAGCAAGTAAATTGTAATTAAAAATCTAATTTACACAAAAGCTCCAAAACACTGTACTTGGACATTGAAATACACTATCAAGACAAAGCTGTATTATGTAGCTTTGAATTTAATGAAACAGAAGAGTGATTAGGATTTAATGAATTAAATACACTCTTTGTTTCTAAATGTAGGTTTAATAAAGGGTTTTTATTTTTTGAATCAAGTTTAAAATTCACAAATTGAAGATTCTCCCATTTCGTGCATGCTTTTGAAATTCTAAATTCTGTGAATGCATTATGCTTTGGTTATTTAGTCTCACATCATTCCAATTTCATTCCTGAGTTGTAAGAGTATCTGAGTGTCTCATTTAAATTTTCTTTGATGAAAACCAGTGCAATACCAATAACTGAGACATCCTCTTATTGATTTAGTTGTATTCATATCAAGAAACGTTTTAAAGGTAAAAGCAGGTATTCTATTTAGTACAGATGTATTAAATAAAATACCTAAAGAATAACTTAGTTCTGTAAAAAATTTATTAAATTTTATACATTTAAGTAAATCCTTCACAAAAATAATTTTATTTAAAAATTTATTTTTTGAACTTGTGAAAAAATATTTTGCATGTAATATTTCCGGCCTTGAACCCTTTAAGTAAACCCTCCAGACATTTTCTGTAAAATACCAACCAGTTCCAAGTAAAGTTTCAGAAAAGCAACCTTTCCGATAAAGTCTAGATTAAAGTACTGTCTTAAAGTTACATTAATCCAGTTCATATATGATGAGTTATGATGATGAATATGATGAGTTCATATGTTCAGATATATTATACATATCTGTTTAGCTTTTTTCTAACCAACAATTATATTTTTTTAAATATTTTTCGTGCCAAAGGCGTTAAATTCATGACGAGCGATAGGTATTCTGCAGAGAAAATGATTTACCCAGATAGATCACTAGGTACCGAAGCAAGTTAGATCACGAAAAAATGTCACTTCAAAAACGTTAGTTGTCCGAGCGAACTACTAGAACACGCACGGAAACAGACTCCTTCAGGAAAACCTGGATTCATGACAGCAACATCATTGATAAATCCTTCAAATAGTTGAATCCTTTGAAATCTTTAGAAATCTTAAAAATCCACGAAAGAAAAACAAACAATTTGGATAGGGGCATTTTTTCTTTTATTTTGGAGGCTCTCTGATTCTAAGGGTAGCTTCAACGCTCCTTCAGGCCTTTCTTATTTTTCGGTCGCTCCCTCTGATTTTAAGGGTAGGTAACTTAAATGCTCCTTCAAGTCCTCATCTATTTTTCGGTCGAAAATACTTAGGTACCTAATGGGAGTTCCAGGAAAGCTTTAGAACAATATTTTTCTGTAGCCCCAGCATTTTGTCAATTTCCTTACTGACTTATTGAATTTTTCTCTTAAAAATGTTTTGTGATCGGCAGTATCTTTCCTACACGCGATGATATATCTCATTTTTATTCTTTTTTTCTTTTTCAGGAAACATACTTTGAATTGTCATAGGATGAAACCATCGTTATTCAGCGTTCTATGTGAAATCAAGGAAAAAACAGGTAAGATTTTATCAACTTTTCTCTTTTTGACGTTTAGATGTGAAGGATTATTTTATATAAAAATATTAGTAGAATCGGCTTCTTCACAGCGCGTGATTTGAAAACTACCGCTACAAAACGTATCTCTTATTTTTATTCGCTCTTTTTTTTTTTTTTTTTTTTTTTTGGGGGGGGGAGATTTTTTTGGAACGGAATAGTTTAATTATTTACAGCTATACTTTTCTACGATTCCCTGTCAGAAATAGTTCAATTTCCTCTTTTTTCAATAAAAATGATTCAGTTTAAGTGTGTTCTATTTAACGGATGAGCAATCCTGAAATCGTTCAGTGGTGGCTTGAAATAAATATCGGGTTAAAACCGGTCAAAAGCAAGAAATTTATAATTTATTTTCTTTGATCTTCTTTTTTGTATAAGAGTTTGACTTTTCAAAAAGGAAGACCCATTCACAAGCACTGAGTGCTCCTTTCTTGCACCCTCAACCTCAACTCAAAGAGCTCTCTTGAGCTTGGGCATTGACTTCACTAAAATCCGTTGGTACTATCGTATTTTTCGCGAACATCAAGTGGGTCCTCAGTGAAATGAGTCAAAAATGTCCTTACTGCTGCGCTGCTTCTTCTGCTTTTGTAGCATGAAATTGAAAAGTACCTCTTTTATGCAATTGTAATAAAATCGGTCGATGTTCAATTATTTAAACGATTTCTATGCGTCTTTTGGATGGTTGGCACCATCACAAAGAACGGAGGCTTCTTTGAATACAATTTTCCAGGCACGCTGAAAAAGAAAGTGACCGGCAATATAGACATACCGTCCGTTCCGGCCTCATAGGCCAAAATTACCGGGTGCTAGTGCCGCAGCTCCGATTGCACCATTGGCGGATCCAGCAAACTGGCAACACTGTTTTTCTCCATTTAAACCTATGGAAATGCATCGATTCTAGAAGGGGCTAAGTGTCCTGACAAGAATCGATTATTTAACATAGGTTTAAATGGAGGGAATCCGCTGTTGCCAAATTGCTGGATTCACCCCTGGATTGCACCAGGTGCTGCGCCCGGAACTTTCGGCCGTGCAGATGCTTTTGAGCCCGTTTTCTCAGAATTTCAATATTTCATTTTTACACTCACTGTTCTCTTTGCCATCGCGGCAGAATGGTCATACTCTGACGGTATAGGTACTCCAAGGACCCCGACGTAGGTACCGGAGGAGTATCGGGAGGAGTCGGCGGCATAGTGAGCAGTGGGTGGCCGGGGGAGACGCCACATCGGTCGAGAAAATGGTCCCCCGCTCGGACAATGCGAATCGACAAAAGGCGATCCGCGGCGGCCATTTGGGCGCTGCGCCCTGAATAATTAAGCCGCCTGATTTTCTCCTCTTTTTTCAGCCGAGTTTAATAAGCGCGAGCCGAGTGCATCGCATCCGAGATGCGAAAACCGGATAACGACTCCAGGGGTCATCCCCGGGGTCACACTCGCTTGTCATGTCTGGGATTTGATTCCTCGCTGGTTGCCCCCCCCCCCCCCCCCCCCCCCCCNGGGGGGGGGGGGGGGCGTCGTTTCGCACCGATGGATCCACATGACGTCATCGTCGTCCTCCAATTGTCCAACGTTGGGGCTTGCACTCGACGAAAACAGAGACGTAGAGAGGCGGCCAAGGGTGCGAAAACTTCCCGAGTGTTGCCAGGGTCATATGGAAAACCGGGAAACGTCAGGAAATTTTAAAAAGTCGGGGAAAACCTAGAAATGTCAGGGAAAAATCATTGAGTTACCTTTATTTGCTTGCTTGAATAAGTTTAACGTTTCGAACAACAAATTTTACCCTAAAAATATTTTTAACTACGTTTTTTTAAAAATCTGGCGTTTGTTCAATCGTCAGGTAGCTTCGCCACATTTTGTCGGGGAATTGAATTTTCTAAATTCTGCGGCAATCCTGGAGACCGGTTGGGTCACGATTGGTCACGTGGGAAAATGGAAAGAGCCCAAACACGGAGCTTCGAAATACGACAACTGGCAAAATTGCGTTTATTTTTCATCCTGGGGTAAAAATCACGTGTTTCGCTTAATATCGCGATAAAATTACGTGTTTGGCGCAAAATCGCGGCAATTAATGAACCCAGAAATCCAAAAATGAAAAATCGTTATATTTATGAAAGTTCCGAAGGAAAAGGGGCTTTCACAATGAGAGGACTGAGAACTCCCTGCATCCCTGGGGATACCCTTCATTGGTATCTTGACATTGATGGAAGCCTTTACTTTTGGGTTTCCAACATTCAATTGGACGTATTTATGCTAAAAGGAACTATGTGCATATGCATAAGGATTGCGCGAGACGCAGTTCCTTTTGGCATGCCTACGTTCAACTGTTAATCTACCTACCAGCCAGGTGAATGTTGAACAACGTGTCGGGTACTTCGTTTCGCAAACTTACGGAAGTTTACCAAACTTACTTATTTGGCCCATTGCGCCACCCGAAGCTCAGAAAGCACCAGTAGGTAGGTCAATAGCCGATAAAAGGGCGATGATGGATTTTAATAGAGCTTGATAAATGATTCCTGGAGGTATGTAATTTTTTCGCATGGCAGTTCTCGACAAATCTGGGTTGGGACCTAAGTGTTTCATTTCATTCCTGGAATTCACATTTCAAAACGAGATTTCTCTTTTTCCTTGCGACAATCTGACCTTGTCAAAGTTCAAACTGCGTACGGCATAAGGAAAAAGAGAGGAGAAAACGAAATAGTAAGAATTTGAGGAAAACCTGAAAAGGGGGGAAAAAACTTTTTTTGAAGGAGTAAGGAAAAACTATCAAGTAAGGATTCTAGATGACGAGGCTAGTATGCGTAGTGACGGTGCAAAATGAGTAGATTGAATTAAGAACAGCGGGAAAGTGGACATTTCTAGGGGTAAAAAACACGAGCTACCGACTTAGGTATTTCAAAGAAAATCTGTGAAATCATTTCTATTCTTATTTTTGCCACAAGCGAGGCAAACTTTTCGGCCGAGTTCATAATGAAATTTAAGGACTACCGTGTTAATCAAGCTACGGGAACTGGCGAGATTCAAGACGGCGCACACTGGACCAAGCAGTGGCGTGGCGTGCTTTGCGATATATCGATATTTCCTTATTTGCAGCTATGGTAAAAGATCGATTATTAAGGTGTTCGCTGCGAACACCCTGTTTATCGATTCTTTTTCATAATTTAAATGGTTGGCCAAGCACGACACGCTACTGGGACCAAGCCAATGCGAGAAGTCAGACAAAATCCGGAAACTTTGAAAGCTTATATTTTCAAAAATATAAAACCTAACAGTTAAAGAGTAGGTCCATTCGTTTTTTTGTAAAATTCTCATTTCAGAAACACCCCTCAAAATTAAATTTGTAACGACATAACCATCAAATTTTGAAATTTTAGCCAACAATTTCAAGTCCTTCCTCCTCTACCAGTTCGTTCCACTGTGCGGCGGTTCTGCCGTCTGGCTTAAAAATTTAATGAAGCTTCGGCACCTTCAGACTCAACGAATATGCGCATACCGTAGGTTATGTTACCCTCCTGCCGCATAACGCAGTTAATAACACCCCCCCCCCTTCCCCACAGAAATTGCTCCAAATTTAGCTCCTCAATTAATTTTTCAAGTGCGAAAAAACAGAAAAATGTCGAACCAGTTCGTACCGGGCGGTCGCGATAAATCCTGACGAACGGAACGGAGATGGTTGTGCGAATCGCTTTGTGGCGCTTCAGCGAATTCTTTTTCGGAGAATCTAGGAAATTCAACCGCTAATTCCGCGTTAGCCCCGAGAAAACCGGGGCATCCTGCCATCCTGCCGCGATCTTGCCCAACTTCTTTTATGTAACTTGTCGAATCGTCGAGAGATCCGACATATCACCGCTCCTCGGACGTAAGGGCGTATCTCAAGTTTGACGTGAGCCCCATTTTACATAAGAATCCCTGATTTCTGGGGCTCATGCGGAAATCTAGGTACGCCCTTTCGTTGGAGTAGCGACGGCATGGCATGGCGCCGCGCCGTTTGCCGCGACCGGGTCTCTCGGAGGCCTGTCAAGACGGATATTTTCGGTTTCTACATCTTTGAAAAGTTCTTAACCTCAAACGCCCGGGTCCTGTCTTTTCTCTCCGTGGATATTGATGGAGCGTTTCGTTCTTTTAATTTATTCTCCAAGGCAATTGCCAATTCTTTCCTCTGAAACAGCGTCGTGTTGGGTTTCGTATCCGCTGGACAAAAAAAAAAAAAAACAATGTTCTTTTAGCTTCTCGCGCGGATGTTGAAAATGGGTCTGATGAAGTTCTCAGCGCTCCGTTTGAAGCTATGATGCGCTTAAATAATTAAATTTGGCTCTTAAAAATTCGGCTTGCCGTCTAAGGCACCCCCCATCAAATATTAGGGAGAGGACAGAACGCAGTTCATGCTCTCTTGTGCGTGGTCTGAAAACGATGGTTTGTTTAGTCTCTCCTAGAAAAATGGTGGGAATTTTTCTCCAAAAATTTGGTCTCATTTCCCGCTTGCGTTTCTTCCCTGGGAAAATGTCAATATCGTACAAGAAGGGAGCTTTTAAAGCGTGTGTCCGTATAGTTCCTCAAGAATTTCCCACCTTCAGACCTCTTCTTGTAGTGGCAATGTTTTAGCCACAGGCCGCCCTCGATCTAGAAAATCTGGCGGAATTGATAACATATGAATGGCAAGTTTTATTGAATGCACTATTGTAGTAAAACCCATAAATTGTATTATTTTCGAGTTTCCCCTCCTTCGCTCTTCATGTATATTTTATATAGTCACCCTTCCGCCGAAATATCACAAGCGCCATGCAACGCTTAACAATTTCCGCCATCATTTTTTTTCCCCCTAGAGATTTTGTTCAACGAAACTGTCCGAAAATTTCACTAAATTTTCTTTGTGTTACTTGTGCAATTTTCAAACAGATGCAACCAATAATTTCTCTCAAAGAAAATAAAATAGTTGCGGAAATTTTGAAACGTCGCATGGCGCGTGTGAAT